AATAAAACTTGGTACATAAATGGTCTAGGACAATAGACAGCCTGATTAATTTTGGGTTAAAATCTGTTCATATTAATTCTCTAATTAGCATAATAATTAATATTTTTTTGGTTCTAATCACCTTTCAATGAAACTTGGTACATTGTGCAGACCTTATTAGTTTGACACTTAAATCTGTTCATATTAGTTACCTTATTTGCATAATAAATTTTCTGCGTTTCCATCAACATCTCAAGTTCAAGTAATTTTGAATTAATTTTTAATGTGTCTCCAATACTCTCAGCACACGGGAGTTCTTTCTAAGCTTTCTTTGATTTTATTTGATAGGGGGTGGGTCAACTGAGATTTACAGCTGGCAAAACGGAATCTGCCGACCGACCCCCCCCCCCTAGGCCGAAGTAACTGACCAATCCTTAATGAAGCCGAAAACAACAGAAATGCAGAGCTCCGAGTGCTTTCTGGCAGTCTTTGTAACAAAGCTTTCTATTGGTCGGTAAACTTTCAATCGCGCAACCACGTGACATACACAGTTATGAATGGTATTACCGCACGGTGTTGTAGAGGGGGGAATTTCCGAACGGAACAACACCGTGCAGGCGGACGATGACATTCATTATTTGCAAATGTTAAAGATTGTTACTACTGAAGATGAGTTTAGGTCGGCAAAACAAACAAATTTTCCCACCAAATTTCATTGAAGTGTTCTCTGATATATATGGGTTTTAAAATACAAATGTACCCAATTAGCTTAATTTTTAATTAGCTTAAGGTAGAGATGCAGGTTCATGGGCACTTGGGAGTGAAATTTTTTTTTTTTGCTTTTCCCAGAACTTCCAAAAAAAATTGCTCCTAGACGCTTTGAACTTTTGTTTTTAAATTTTCACAAATGATTGGCAATGTGTTTATCTTCAAAACGCCGTCGGGGCATTGTTTTTGGTTGAACATTACAACAATTGTACAGACAACTAGCCTGGGTGTTATGCATAAACTTGAAGTAGTGAAATTTGAGCTGCTGCCCTGGTAGACAGTTTTCAAGTCGGCATTTTCTTCATAGTAAACAGATGTACTCGTAAACCAATTTTGACAGGAAACAGAAGCATGGTTTAGAAGCCATTTTTTTAAAATCACTTTTGACCAAAAAAACACATATTTCTGCATATTTCAAACAGTGTCCATAAAAAAAAATACTAACAACATTTTAAAATTCATACAATAAGCTTTCCGAAAATATAGTTTTGTGGACAAGGGAGGTCATCTTGGTTTCCTAATTAACTAATTAAAATACATGTCGGGTAAACTGCATCTCTACATTAATTAAAGTTACTGTAAATTGTACATGTACATGTATAAGATCTTTTAGTTCAAGTTTTCAGTATTGCATGAAGCTTCAGATGTTTGACCACTACATTAGAGACAGATCATTTAAAATGGGAAGAAGGAAAGGGGAGGGAACTTATCTTCAAATGCAATTTTTCTGAACAGTCGCTCAATATTAATATTGAATGTATGGAGTGGTTTGAGTCAAAGTGACTATATATAAACCCTTCAAATGAAATCATATGAAATAACAGGCATGTTATTAATGGCAAAAGTATTTTTCACCCTTGTTTTTATGCCCTGGGCTTTGTCCATATTGCAGATATTTTCAATAATGCAGGAGAAATTGAGACTTAATTGGAGAGATCTGCAGATGTAATGTGAAGTTCCACACACAGACTGTCTACAAGTAGTTGCCAAACTACTAGTATAACGTTTATACAGGTGTAAATTACAAAACATGCCGTAGTTCAAATACCAAATTTTCTACTACCTGTATACCACATGGTGAGACACTCTTGTTGAAATCAAAATAGTTATATGTATTGCACAAAACCACCTTTGATGGCATAATTGAATGCTTGTGCGCTTTGAATTATAAAACACTGAACGAATAATTGTAACAGTCTTATTAACTCGTACACATAGGACGTTCATGACAAAAATAAACACTAGATTTGAATGCTTTTAAGTTTTATTTACTTTACATCCACATAACATTTTGGGACACTGG